CTCCCCCAAAAAACGCATGGCGATTCGTATCATCTGGATTACGCATAGCTTCTCTGTGATTTACGGTCGGTATATTTTAAGCGTAGCTTGGACCCCCCCCCCCCCCAATACATTTTGCTGGATCCGCCGCTGAACTGTGATTCCAGTATTTCAATTCACACCACGTCGCATTTTTGTGAAATTTAATGAGACTAGAATTAGCCCCTATGCACACTGAAATTATAAACAAATTATTCATTACAACCACAAACCGGCATATATTTTACCTTAACATGTATAGGCAATAGTCACCCTGCCCTCGTCGACGAGAGATAATCACAAACCTATCGGCGAGGGCGCAACAGATTATCTAACATGTTACTGTAATGGTGAGATTGGGATAAATACAAGGGCATTTCTAACACTAGGGACAACTTTTTCAATGGTTAGTTTGTTTATGTCTCAAGCCTTCAAATCCTAACCGAAGTTGGTGTGCTAACATTTATCTCTTGAGTATTGTCCTTAACATTCTTAATAATTGGGGCCAATTTGTTAGTTTTCATATTTGTCCGTCTGACTTTACTCAGACATGTTTTGTGTACGTTCCAAATAATGCAACTAAATAGTTTTGGGATTAAAATTATATATAATTTTATTTCTTCAGTATTCTTGGGTATTCACTCCAGATATGTTTGTCTTGTATACTATTCTGATATATTATTTATAAATCAAACTTAACTGATTAAAGACGTTGTTAGTAAAATTTAATAGTACTTGTAACGATTACAAGGTCGTATTTAAATTATAATTTAGATAACCATTGTTCAGCTCAGTCGCAATCCATGAATATCTGATACCATGCGATAACCCGTAACATAATATCACTAATACCTTACACGTCATGTTATACATGTATATTCTCCTGAATCATCTTTTATTATTTTATCTTACAGGGGCGTGGTTTCAGTTGACATCGATCTTCAAACAATAGATATCAATCAATGTGCCAATGATACTTCTATGTTTTCTGGGACGCACAAATGCAAAAATACAACAGAGGTATGTACGGTTTATGTGACGACATTTGACAGTGTTTGCCTGTTTCGAATATACCGTTTGTGGACGGTATTCTGCACGATTTTACCAGTAAATTTCAAAATTCTTTCATGACGTTTACTGTCACAGTCTTATGTACAAAACAAATAAATACAACCCAATAATTCGTGGTATTTCAAATCAAATAACTACCCGCAATGATGTAACCTGGTAGATTGCTATCTGGGGGACAATTATAGTAATAATTGCACAGATGGCTACGAAGGAGACAGCAAATAGTATAGCGTAGCTGGACGAAATACAAAAGTCAAATCTTCGTTTGTTTGTGATTCGTTTATTGGTTTTAATTGTAATATGTTTTATTGGAAATGAAATATCAATTGTGTACTTATGTTACTTGTATTTCTTCATTCATCATTAATGTAAGTTTCTCCGTGTTTGAGTTACTAACGTTTTAATCTAATTGTAATTCACTATTCGAATCATGTATCGTTGTTTTTCCATATGCCATTCGATGTGTCTATCAAAGTATAAATACCGGTCACTGGTAGCATATGATAGTGGTTGTCGCATCAGACGCATGATCGGTAGACCCAAATTCAAATCCTACATTAGGTTGAACATCAAAGGGTTGACCCCTACCCCTACCCTGGGTGAATGTGCCACAGACTCAATGGGAAGGCCAATTCCACTGGCCGAGATTCATTCACTAACGAATGCGACTTTGGGGGAACCTTGGTTAAGGTCCGCAGGTGCTTGTGTTCGACCGAACCTGGTTGACGCCAGGATAGCGCGTTAAAATTGCCGTTTGATAGGAAGATGGACACGCGGCCCTGTCATGTAGTCCCAAACAGGAAATGACTTCTGTGGCAAAATGCACTATGTGTCAGCACTAGCACTTGCAATTTGCAATTACAAAATAGAAAAAAGTCAGGAGAGACAACTGTGACATTCAATGTCCGGGACTGTCGCCTGGCACAAAAACATTTAAAAAAACCCACAAACTATTGCGTACAATTTACTAACAAAGATTTTTTTTACTATGTTTCTTATATCGTATTTTTTCTTAGTGTGTTCCCATTTCCAGTCAAGGGTTCCGTGGTGGCTCTTACCAGTGCGTATGCAAAGACAATTACTACTTCCCCGTGACCAACTCGCCTAATCGCTCATACAATGGAACAACTCTTGAAGACGAATATCATAGGAAGATATTCGGTTTTCCGAATAACTACGATGACGGATTCGAGTGTTTACCGTGTCCGAAGGGATGTGATGGTTGTGTGGACGATACGCCGTGTTTTGTCGAAGAAAACCTAATACTGAGATCCATTTTACTTGGCGTTGAGCTGTTGTGTATGTTTGTTGTTGTCATATTGATGCTGGTGATTTTTAAATTCAGGAGAGTGAAGGTAAGTTAAATAATTTGCCCTACTTACTGTATTGGTTGTGGCGAGGAGTGTGCTTGATGCCTCACGTTCCCTCCAAGACACTGATGTGAAAGTCGACATTGTTTTACGTTTAATAAAGTGAAAATTTTAGCCATACTTAAATATATATATTTAGAGTTGTATGAATTGCTGCATGGAAGTTAAGAGCTCGTTGCGGAGATAGTATCATAGAGAATTCTCTTTCTCCACGCCGGGGGGGGGGGGCTGTATTAGAAGGCTGTTGTCATCGCGATGTGTCGTGTTTTATACAGAGAGATACTGTAAAAATGTGTCAAGATTTATAATTATTCGAATGTTGTTGTTCCAGGTAATTAGTCACGACAGTCCGTATATGCTGGAAATCGTTCTCTTTGGTGCCTTGCTCCTCTACTCCGCTGTAGTGGCACGATACTGGGCACCTAATACGTTGGTATGTCTGTTGGTGCGCTGGCTTAGAGAATGGGGATTCGCCGTAGCCTATGGTATGCTGATATTGAAAACTTACAGGTTAGTGTTAAACTTTCCAGGTCACGCCCTCAAGCGGTGAAGAGTAGGTACGTATGAGTAAAAGCATTCAGATCGTTCACCGCTACAAAATTAATAAACTGCGCATTGATTTGCCGTTTAAACTAAATCCATCTTCATACAAAACTCCTAAAAACAACATCGATGCTCGAAACGGCATATCTTTTACCCATTCTACTTATGAATCTATGACATCATTTTGACTTTCGCGCCAAAATGTAATTAAGTGTAAACGTTGCTTATAAATGGTGATCTTTAATAATGCTCGAGCATGTATAAATAAGCATAGTTTGCGAAAGGTTACACACGTTGGCAGTGGTGAAAAGTCTTCTTGAATATTCAAGGTATAATGTTCCTACACACATACGTGAAGAAAGGATTTTTTGAACCAATACGAAACAGCGTGATTTAAGTTAAATCACGCGAGAAAGTGTTAACTTTCCCTCTGATTTTCTTTAGAATTCTTGCAATTTTCCAAACACGTTCAGCTACGCGTGTGCTCGTGCGTGACAGAGATCTACTCAAGTGGCTGTGCTTGATTTTGTTTATTCTGTCGGGATATCTTGCCGCGTGGACGGCATACAGCCTGGATGAAATCAATCGATGCGGTCGAGACATGCTAGAAATCGGCGTGGTGGAAACAGTAGGTCTCAAATATTACGTATGCAGGTCAGATTGGTGGGACATCGCCATTGAAGCAGGTGAGCATGCGCAGTGTGTATAATCCATTCGAGAATATACAGTCATTGAAGATATATGATTTTCTGTAATATTAGGAAAATTTATTGTCAATTTATTGTTCTCAGATTTTTTTTTATATCACTTGTTCATGCTTAAAATGAAATGCACTGCGAAATGCGGACGGTAGCTTTAGTTCGAGGTGTACTTCTCATGTGAGCTGCGAACGAGGGTGTGATATACAAGAAGTGATGGAATGATTATTAGAGATGCCCTAATATATGGTGGATGTCCAATAGTGCATCTCATTTATTATGAGCCAAACTTTCAGTTGAGAAACACAAATGAATTATGTACTGTTCTGTAAACATTATACTTCATAACTAGGGAGCTAACACACCTGTTATATAAGTAATGTACAGCATGGTATTACAACAATGCATATTTCACTAGATATAAATATACATCACGATCTCGTTGAGAACGAGAGGACCACGGGAATGCATGTTTTCCGTGGCAATAGTGTTTCTTCTCGTCGCACCCACCTTTCCAAATACCATTGTTTCATATGCGTTATGCCACATGACAGTGAATGTGGTAACGGCGAGACAATGGAACATGATCAGTAAAACAAATACAAGTTTTTGGTTCTCTCGCTTTCAACGAGATCTCGGCGGCTATTTGCAGTATGGTATCATCTGTCACAGTTTCGTCAACTCACGCCATCTTCCGTGATCAGTCCCACCATTTGAAATACTATGATTGCAAAATTAAACGGCAAAAGAAGTCTTGCCGGCGCGTGGTTCTGGCTCTCAATGAGATTACGGCAGCCGTCTACACCTAGGGTATATTTGTCACAGTTTCCTTCAACTATTTAGGATTTAATCACACACACACACACACACAGGAACAAACATCATTGTAGCGTGTCATTTGATGTCCATTGCTTTGTGGTACGATACTATGATACTTCATATAAATGCTAAGTAAAAGAGACATTTCTTTATATTTTTCAGCCGAATTTCTATTTCTCATATTTGGAATATATCTATGTTATCTGGTGCGATCGGCGCCTACAGACTTCCACGAGACACGGTATATTAGTATAGCAATCTACAACGAGACAATATTTTCATTGTTTTTACACGTATCAAGGTGAACACATTTATATTATATTACATTATAATGGAATGGAATAATCCAAAGAAATCTATATTACTATCAGGGGGTAATTCTTCTACTCTCGGATTCTCCACACGTGTCAGGGGAAAATCTCGTCTCGTCTCGTCTCTCTATCGCGTCCCCTCGAAGTACGGGATCGGGGAAGTCACTTAAGCTTTACTTTCAAATAAAACACACACAGCAAACTATGTTTCAACTCTCGTCTTAGTCGGTCTTTTGAGCACTCTATAAGACACGGCGCCCTGGGGAAAAATCCCCAAGACTATCGCAAGGCTGACTCAAGACTCGCCCAAGACTCTCTAGGACTGGACTTTAGACTGCGTCTGTCGTGGAGTACTCGCCAAGACCAACTCAAAACTCTTTATTCATTTTCAAAACCTGAACCAATTACAAAGCAGTAAAAAGACTCTAGGGCGTAACCTTCAATCATAAAGCCAATCACACTAAGTACTGAATACGTCATATCTTTTGATTAATCGTTCACTACATTAATAATTATGAATACCAACTGTCAAAATAGTAGTCCGAATAGCGACAGTCATCTCGTAATTAGTTCCAAATCACTGAGTCGAGTTCCGTCCAGGACCTCGCCTGCCCAAACGATAACAGACATAACACAGCCATTCGCTAATAATCAACTAAATAAGTCGGTCAACAGATACGGGAAAAACAAATTCATGACATTACCACTTTGTAACAAATTTTAAGGCAATAAGTGTCCCCTTCCTACCAAAGAAAGATTCCTGTGCAAACAGAAAATGATTGGTGTACTTAGACACAGTACGTTTCCTGTATTTGCCTGCATGTGTTAGAAATACTAATAAGGAAAGTCATTTGATGACGGTGTATATAGAGATTGTTTTAAACGACTCAGAGTGCCATTAGTAATTTTTCAATTGGTACGACCTTTGCCTCTGTGCAACAAAGGGCCACTATTAGTGGCAGAATACAGATTAACAATTATATTGTAAATTTGAGTTCAATTGTTGCGGTATACTTTTATATAAACAAATAGTTAACCTCAAAATGATCGACAAATATCGTTAACACAACCTTACCCAGGATCAATATTATTGATTCTGATTTATATTCGTTTTTTTGTTCAGTTACGATATCTAAGTAGTACTCGGTGAAAAAGTAGACAGTGGAACAAAATCCCCTTTATCGGTTTGAATAATGATGTTTTAGTAATTACGTGACATGATAAGAGTGGGGCTCGATCACTCGTGTGCATTCACTTAGATCAGACACGTTCATATCATTTTCATTTGACGTCGAAATATGTGTTTATCTTATCGACGTTAAATATACTTTACCTGCACTTTGCAATGCTTGCTGAATGGATCGCTTTTATCTTGCTTTAGTATTATTCAAATGCAGTGTATTTAGGTCATCGGGTTCAATTGTCTCAAATATTCTCTAAATCGAATGTTAAATTTGACTCAATTTGCAGGCAATTTGTTTGGTATATGGCTGGCCCTGAATGGATTTATCTAATGTACGTAATCAGGTCCCAGTTAACAACAACTGTCATGGTCGCTCTGATATTTATACCTAAGGTAAGAGCGCCGCCATTTTTGATTCGCTTTCGTTTTACTAACTTTTGTTTTCACTTCTTGTCTGTCATCAATGTCAAGAACGCTGAGTTACAATGACGTCACTAATGACTAAATGACGTAAAACATATATAACTTCAGAAGAAACACTTATCTACATGGTTCCATGGCAACCGCATTGACTTATAATGCTATAGACATCGCGCAGCGCCTGTTCAAATTTCGTGGAAACTTTCTCTCAGGGGGGGGGGGGCATTGCACGTTTTTACGTGATGACTTCAAACACCACAAATCAGATCGTCAAATGTTATCGTTACACATTTTAATATATACACAAACAAAATATTACAAGTTACAACATTTGAATTTCACGTAAATAAACAATGTGCTATACACGTGTTGCATACGCCGCCATGAGTCCCATATCGAACAAGATGCGGTATTTCATTAAAATAATCATAAATTTCACATAAATCGACATTTCTGTCGGCGATATTTGAAAATGCGATGATTCCGGAGCAAACTTACTTAATTGCGTTTCATTTAGTCAGAATGCAATTGGTAAGTTCGTCAGTATACAGTCCCTCTATAGATTATTGAGAGGCTGTGGTCAGTATCATTCTTATCCGCATAGTACGATTGTACCTAATGGCCGCTCATCAACACAGTGACGTCAAGTAATGTGGCTGTGATTTGGCTCGAAGTATAGCCACTCTACACTATAGGTCGGAACAATTCACGAAGTCGGAAAGTGTCATGTCAGGATTGACATTTATTGAACTTTGAAATGGAAACATCAAGTGTCACATGACACAAAACTCAAGTTGTGATAGATCGGTTCTAAACCAATCACTGATCGCGGTAATAACGTCATAGGTCAAATACAATTTGTGATATAATAGGAATACGAATAATCTAAACTAAACATCAAAGCTATTGCTGCACAGAAATAATACAGCAAATGGAATAATAATTAGAAAACATTTTGATGTCTAACTAGACAATTCAAACTTAATTAACAAACACACCTATGATTTGCATCTCGCCCCGACAAGTAACATGATTAAAATATAACACCCACCAATGATAGTCTGGACGACTATAGGGGAAATTTTAAAAAGAAAAATGTTGGCACTGTTGTGTTGTTGAATTCCCGAAGGTTCACAGTTAAAAATAAACCACATTCTCTATACAAAATTATCGCCAATATATTGTTGCCACTTTTGATCTAGTTTGCATGTTCTATATCATTTCATTGAATAGCTTGTATCTGCCTTGATGTTAATTATTATATTTCTTATTCAGTTGGTGCGTGTTTTTAAAATGAAAAGCAGTGGACACTTCAGAGAGAGGGCGTACTCGGAGGGATTGTCGCTGGAAAGTAAATTACGTTCAGCAGCTAACAGTGGCAATTCATTTAACGACCCAGACCTCAATCAAGAGGACGTCAAGGTAAGCGTATCCAGACAAAACCGGGCTGAGATTTGACGCTGAATAACACAATGACAATTGGTATAGAACACTTGCGGACGTGACGTCACAATATTTGAATCCACTGTTTTGATTGGTTAAAACAGAAGTATGGCGCGAACATTACTGAAGAACCGCCGCCAACAACAAGTGACTGCTGTTTGGTGTTCAACATTTATTTTATCACATTTCTTAAAATATACATATACATGCATAATCTTTTTTTCATATTTGTTTTGAAATATTGACCAAGACCTGACACGAAATTAACAAAGAAATTATAGAAAACTGTTGCATCAACTATCTGACAGAAACAATTTAGCGTTCCTAACAAATGCTGACGTCAAAACTCTCCATCGTATACTACAAGATATTGCACACAAGAAATGAATAGTCTGACTATCGTTTATTTCTCAAATAACAACGCAGATACATGGTTAATCGTATTTTACACCTCTCTCATAGGAGGAACTCAAGAGACTCTACACTCAGTTGGAAATCTACAAAACAAAGACAATGAAAATAGACAACCCACATATACCTAAAAAGAAGGGAGGACTCGGCGCAAGGTGGAAAACTGCGAGGAAATTTTCCCGTCGATTTAGTCGTAGTCTTCAAGCACCAGGACAAGACAGTGATAGGGAAAGGTCATCAGAAATCGCTCGGAGCACAGAGAGTCTGGCAAGGCCGCTCGAAATGGACGACGTGAGACACCATCACGAGGACCACAGAGATTCCGATCACCGTATAATAGGGAACTCTACAAAACATGTTGCAAACCAAAGGTGGATGTGTCAACAATGACAATTATGAATCACTCATGAGTCACTTTAAGATTCGATACCCGCGCATGCGCTTACTCATCAAAATATTGCCAACTTGCACGTTGCTCGGCGACCAGTATGATATCCTGATATGATATCGCTTGGCAATACCTATTTCATTTGATGAATACACTCATTATATAAAAACAACGTGTAAAAAACCTCTATATCCGCTGTTTATAACCACCGAAGTCTTCTATGCTGGGTGCGGATTAGTGAAGCGTATTAAGACGGTTAACTGACACATGCCGCGGCGTGATTTTGTTAACAAGCTGTAATATTTTGTTCATTTCATATTTGCCAATTGTTGAAATGCTGGCACTATATACCGAGTATTATGTCCAAATTAGACATGTTGCCGAAACAACGCCTGTGTTAGACGGCATCGATAAAAACCTTGGAACAGGTTGATTTTTGTCAGTCGATCGCCATCTTGAATTGTCGATGTCATCCCCATCACCATCTTGAATTGTCGATGTCATCCCAACAAATACCTATGCACAGTTATAAGTTTTCCATAATTGTGTTAACGTTGTTTTTTGTTTTTCTACATCTGTCTGAATTGCAGACGGATGAAAGATGGAAAATTTTCCTCTTAGTTATGTTTTTAAATCAACTATTTAATACATTTAACTTTGTTGTAGATCATTCATTTTGACTGTTTTCATTGAAAAGATTTCGTCAAATACTGAAATTTTCACTCACACTGGGCTTTTATCTTATTATTACAAGAAATAAAATACTTTCCTTCATGTGTGCCCTCTAGGGACGAAGCTTTTCTGTGACGTAAATGTCTGAAATAAAGGTCTTTCGCAGCGCCCTCACATCATCAATGTTACTTTGAAAAGTGTGTCGTCTGTCAAGAAAATATAAAGTTTTGTGAGATTCATCTGATTCCGAATGACGAACCAATATTCCGCTTAACACCTTTAAAAGCGACATTACGTCATTTCGCTTTGTCGATAGAGGGCGTGTGTATTTTTGTTCGGTGCAAACTAGCTCTACTGGTACAGTATTTCCATAAATTCACAAGTAGCTGGGCTCTCCTTTATTGTAGTAGTGTTTTGTTATAATTCTTAATCCCCATTGTACAGGTACGGTGAATAATATCCAATAATATTTTCTCGCGAATTCTACCATTCCATGAGACAGGGTAGAACATTATCTACAATTGCATATTCTCCATGTATTAATATGCCTTGGTATTCCTACAATACAACAGTTTATTTACTAGAGTCTGGAGCACATGATATCGTTATCGATTACGTCAGCATTTCGCAGGCTTGTTCGCAAGTTGGTTCGCGATCAGGGTTTTTAGTATGTAAGAACGAGAATGTATTGCTTTGACATTTGAGCACAACTGGGTAGCGAGTCATTACTATACCACTGCGTAACTGCCAGTTACAATCGACATCATCTTCGCTAGCCAAGGTCTAAGTTTATTCGGCCAAGCCTCTAAACAGCCTATAAGTCGAAGACACAGGACCGTGCGATTCGGACGATGAATCGACACGTTCATAAAGCACATCAAATTTATTGATCTTGACTTGGCAAATTGCTTACCATTGCAAATGGTACTTTAATTACCTCCTGCTATTTGTGTTCGAGAACGCCATTATTTTCCATTTTCTTCCCCTTTTCGATAGCCGAGTGATAATGATGTAATTAATTCCCGAAATATATACCAGTTACATACCAAGGTGGCAGGTGATTGTTTAGTTTTGAAAAAGTGACAATATATGAACAATAAAATTATTGTAGTCCATGTAGTCATTAGGTGCAAATATGTCGTGAAAAAAAACGGAGGACTCTACACGTAGCTGTCGCAATCGAGCTAGATGTAGCAACGCGCTTCTAAAGCCTGTAAATTGTCTGTTATATCACTCATTCCCGGAAAGAAATATCTATGCTTTGTGTTGGTAACCGTTGTTTATAAAAGTGTGTCCTTTTTTTCATTTGTATTTATAATTATGTTATTTTTCAACTGATGCAATTTCTGGAGCAGACATACTTTGTTAACTCAGTACTTTATAAAACCATTCACGGAATTACGTGATAGCTCAATCGGTAAACTCTGTATCCACATTTTCTTAAATGGCTAGATATATACCATCTATTACGTAATAAATCTAGACTTATTTACCAACTTACATACGTTTTACTAAAGTTAGTATTGTCACTCATCAAGTATAACATGTGTGCAGTGTCTCCGAATACGTTTGGATTCTATCGTAACAATGTATACACGGTCGCGTTGTATACCATACCGATAACGAACATGACACGGGAGACTGATGTGGCGATTTCCATCCTCATATGTTGACTGCAGCATTTCATACATGCTGTATTTTTCCTTGTGGAACTGACTGTAGTATTTACATCACATATGCTGCATTTTACCTTGTGTAACTGACTATAGTATTTACATCACATATGCTGCATTTCACCTTGTGGAGCTGACTATAGTATTTACATCACATATGCTGCATTTCACCTTGTGGAACTGACTGTAGTATTTACATCACATATGCTGCATTTCACCTTGTGGAACTGACTATAGTATTTACATCACATATGCTGCATTTCACCCTGTGGAACTGACTGTAGTATGTACATCACAAATACTGCATTTCACCTTGTGGAACTGACTGTAGTATTTACATCACATATGATACATTTCACCTTGTGGAACTGACTATAGTATTTACATCACATATGCTGCATTTCACCTTGTGGAACTGACTGTAGTATTTACATCACATATACTGCATTTCACCTTGTGGAACTGACTGTAGTATTTACATCACATATGCTGTATTTCACCGTGTGGAACTGACTGTAGTATTAATATCACATATGATACATTTCACCTTGTGGAACTGACTGTAGTATTTACATCACATATGATACATTTCACCTTGTGGAACTGACTATAGTATTTACATCACATATGCTGCATTTCACCTTGTGGAGCTGACTATAGTATTTACATCACATATACTGCATGTCACCTTGTAGAACTGACTGTAGTATTTACATCACATATGATACATTTCACCTTGTGGAACTTACTATAGTATTTACATCACATATGCTGCATTTCACCTTGTGG